ATGACATAATATTAATGTGTATGCAGTATAATGCTGTGAGTTGTAACACTACAGTACAGTAATTAACTGTAAACAGTTTCCAGTTAGTTACCACTACTGCTCTATTACAGTAATTAACTGGCAACACTGTTGCCAGCTACTCACTGTATTGGTTCAGTTACAGTAAATAACTGGCAACACTGTTGCCAGCCACTCACTGTAATGGTTCAGTTACAGTAATTAAATGGCAACACTGTTGCCAGTTACTTACTGTAACCAAACTTTTACAGTGAGTAACTGGCAACAGTGTTGCCAGTATTCTACTGTAAAAATGCCCGGTAAGGTCTAACAGTATATATATATATATATATATATATATATATATATATATATATATTTACATATTATTTTTTATTAGTAATAGTTAATTTGTTTCTATTGTAAATTTTGGTTTAAAAACAATATATTGCTTATCTTAAATTAAATTATCTTAAATTAAAAAGTTATTAGAAAATTAAGCATATACACACTTTTTAAATCGCTTTTGAGTAAAATATTAGTGTTATACATTTGTTACATGTAAAAAGAATTTTATTACATATAAAATGTATTATTACCTATATTAACTTGCTATTATTTCCTTCATTATAAATAAATCCATTATATAAATTAAACCTGTCCAATTAAGATCGTTTAGCAAGGCCAGCAATAGAGTATCTGCTAAAATGATTCTGTCAGATAATAATGACTGATCATCTATGATGACTGATAGAAAACTGTTCAGTCTACTATATTGAATGGCAATCGGAAACACCCATTCGCCCGTCTCGATCACAATATTTGTGAAATAAAGTAAACACTATTGTTTATTGTGTACAATGTTTATTAATCATATATATCAAAATATATTGATGACGATGTCCAAAAAGACGTTAATAACATCCGTCGTAACCATATCTGGTTTGCCTAGATTGTGTGTGATTGCGGATATTATTGGTGGCATGATGTGATAGAAGTATTCTTAAAAAAACTGACAAAATTGTATTTTTAAACGATTATTAATATGTGGATTATGTTTTTGTATATTTGTCAGATTCAGAACCCGTCTTGGCTAAGCGGCAGCAGTTCGGCCTCTCCAGTGCCAGGCTGTGTGGTACCTTGTGATACTGTTTCTTCCTGCATGACTCCTCATCCTCACTCTGCCAGCGGCGTGTCTGATTTCCTCGGTATGCCAAGTCCAGGTGGCAGCATGGCGCAGACACACATGGGCAGTCTTTTTGGGAGCTCAGGAGTAGGTGGAACCATTAACGGTTATGATCTCAGCGTCGAGCCCGATCGCAAATCCTCCAGCATCGCCAGCCTGCGCATGAAGGCGAAGGAGCACAGCGCCGCCATCTCTTGGGCAACATGATGCCTTCATCTGGGAAACAGAAGAACCAGATAACCTCAGCCCCAAGCCGTCAGCACTAATGAGGTGAAAGTTTATGGCATCTGGAGCCAATATGGACATGAGAAATGGAGGCTGGAAGCTTTAAAACACTTGTAGGAGATTTAATATTAAGGTTCTGTAAAGGAAGTGGATTGTGCAGTGGGACATTGTGCTAGAATAAGAGGAAACTGATGGGCCAGTTTGAACAGAGAGATGTTTGGTTAAAATAACTTTTTATGTAACATTAAAAAAAAAAAATCTATATGCACTATTTTCCCCTATTATTCATAGACATTTGCACTGCCATTTAAAGAAAAACAAGGTTGCATTTATTTAATCAAAAGAATACAAACATTGAAGCTTTATAAATATATCCAATGGATCCTTGGTTAATACAGATCTTGACCTGTAGTAGTGACCTTTACTGACCCCAAATGGTAGATATCCTAAAGAAGAATATATTCTAGGGCTGCACGATATTGGAAAAATTTGATATTGTGATTTTTTATTGTTCTGCGATAAATAATGCGATATGAAAATCTGATGCTTTAGAAAATAGCACTAAATAAATAGCACTATTTGACAGCTTTCTGGGGAGTAATTGAGCAAATGAATGATCACAATACAACAATAAATACTTGTCTTACTTTGTTTTGACTTGTTTCAAGTTCAAATGTCCAAAAAAAAAACAACTTAAGTAAAAATATTTGTTTGTTTTTTAACTTGTTCTAAGGAAACTATCTGCCTGTGAGATAAGTGAAATAATCTTGCTGAAAATAACAAGACAAAAATTTTACGTAAGAAATGATACATATAATGATACAATTGTGTGGCTCCTTGTCAACTGTAATTTGGACTGGACATTTTATATCTTTGCGATGTGACTATTACGAATGTGCACATTGCGATATCATTGTTGAAATTATGTATTGTGCAGCCCTAATATTTAGTATAAAAATTTTTTTCAAACAGATTTCAAATTACATTAAGTTATGACAGATTTTTTAAAGTGTTTTTTTTTAGCAGTGCCTCTCTACTGTTTGGGCAGATTTGGCCATTATTTTTTCATTGTAACAAAGTATCAGGACACTCTGTATTGGGTTTAAGATTTAAATGATCTTTTTGTTTTTTGTTACAACAGCTTTAGAAATACAGCTCTTTTTTTGCAGTCTTAGAGAGAAACATATTCTGGAAAATATATAGTTAAAGTAAAAGTAAAGTAAAAGTGTTGAAAATCATCTCTCTATTAAACAGAAATCGGGGAAAAAATAAACAGGGGGGCTAATAATTCAGGGGGATTAATAATTCAGGGGGGGGGGGGGGGGGGGTTAATAGTTCTGACTTCATCTGTATTTTAAATCAAAATTACTATGTTTGAAATTATACTTATTTCAGCAATAATTTGTGTTTAAATTCAAGTCTTATTAACAAATTTTGAAGTTTAAAAGTAAATTTTCACATCATTGTGTAAAAAAATAATTTGTCCAGCACAGAAACAGCACCAGATGGCAGTATCTAAACATGATGTGTATGATCAAAGTCCCAAAATTGGACATTATCGATAAAAAAGCAAATTTGCACTTATCTCAAAAGAGTTATCGGAATGAAACACCTGTGCAGCACTGGTCAGTTCTTGATTTAGCTCAGGCATAAAGAGTTAGTTCACCTAAAATAGAAATCATTTACTTACCCTCCACTTGTTCCAAACCTGTTTGAGTTTTATTCTTCTGTTGGACACAAAATGTTGGAAACCAGTAGCAATTAAATTCCAGTGACATTTGTTTTTCCTGTTATGGAGCCAATGGTTACAGGTTTCCAACATTGTTCAAAATATCTCATTTTGTGTCCGACAAAAAAAGAAAAAGAAAAAAGAAAACCATAAAGCTTTGGAGGAATCTGAGGTAAAGGAAATGATGAGTAATTGTTTCTTTCAAAGTGAACTATCACTCTAAGAAGGCGTCTTTAGCATCACTTCTTAATCAGTATTTCAGTCAGGATGGAGCAGAACATAGAGTCATAAAACATAAGAAGAACTTGCTCTCCTCCCAAAGTTGGTCATTGAAAGCACACCTAATAGATTCAAATAGGATGACGGCGACAATATTGGATAGTGAGGCTCCAGGTTTGGTTCACACAGACTGTCCAACTCAAGCTCCAGAAATACTGCCTTTAATCACCCACATTCTCGAAATCAGAGCTAATAGGACATTGTTTCCAGATAAATGCTGGAATGCTGTGTTTGTTTTGTGTTAGCGGGACACAGCTATATCAGCTGGAACATAACTTCATTCATTTCCTGGCTTTTTTTTTGCAGCAGCAGCAGCATTAGGACCATATCATGAAGTGTGAGAAAATGCCGTTTGTTTGGTGGCTGTAGAGTTTCATAGCAAATAAAGTGCTACAAACGGTTTCATTTTTTTGTCCTTGTTTTATTGGATGTCAAGAAAGGTTCTAACTTTTTGACTAAATTGATTTGTAATTTGTCTATTTTTGTAGGCTCCTTTTAAACAGGGCAAACAGTATATATTATGGTTAACTGAGTTAGTAAATCAAGCTTCCTAATTGAGATTAACTTTGTTTACTGTTCAAAAACAAATATGGCAAAATGTTTTAACATTTAATGTCAACATTTATTTTGTATATTTTTATGCTACTCATGTTTAGATACTAGAATGTTTTATATTAAATACTAAATTTCTTTATTAGTTTCTTTATTTTTATTATTATTATTATTATTATTATTATTATTATTATTATTATTATTATTAAAATATACTACCTGTACTCATTTGGTAGATACTAGTTCTTATTTAGTAGTACTTTTTATGAACTTATTGTACCTAATACATAGACACTATAATTCATTATATACAATATCCTATTTACTAGTACTTATTAATTAGTTAATATAGTACTTACTAGGGCGACACAGTGGTACATTAGGTGGTGCTGTCACCGCACAGCAAAAAGGTCGCTAGTTCGAGCCTCGGCTGGGTTGGTTGGTGTTTCTGTGTGGAGTTTGCATGTTCTCTCTGCCTTGGTGTGTGTTTCCTCCGGGTGCTCCGGTTTCCCCCACAGTCCAAAGACATGCGGTACAGGTGAATTGGATAGGCTAAATTGTCCGTAGTGTATGGGTGTGAGTGAGTGTGTGTGGATGTTACCCAGTGATGGGCTGCGGCTGGAAGGGTATACGCTGCGTAAAACATGTGCTGGATAAGTTGGCGGTTCATTCCGTTGTGATGACCCCGGATTAATAAAGGGACTAGACTTAAAGAAAATGAATAAATTAATGAATAGTAGTTACTATTAGATTTTAGTACTGTAATAGTGTATCCAGTTAGCAAGTATCTAAAACTAAATATTCAATTAATAAATACTAGTATGAACAAGTACTAGTATAAACAAAATAGGATGAACAGTAATGAATAAGAAAAAAAAATAGCTTAAACAGCTATTAGGTAATAGTTGAATGAGTACTATAATGTAATAAATAAGTTCTGGTATCTTATTATAAATAATAGTAATTACTAATATCTATTTAGAAGCTATTATGCAATGAGTTACTATGAAAAAAAAAACCTAAATTGAAAAAAAGATAAACTCTTAGGGGGGGAATTTTTCTACATAACATCAGCAGAACTTTTTTTCATAGATTTCATAGAGAATCTTGAACCTTGAAAGTAATACTGAGGACATAATTTTTTTAAACATTTAATATTGTAATTTATTATTACTATAAAGACATTTATTTCATTAATAGTATTATAGTAGTATTACCATCAATTTTATTCATTAATATACTGTTATAGTCAGAATTATTAGCCCCCTTTGAATTTTTCTATGTAGAAGAAGCATCTTCAACTGAACGGAGCTGTTCACACCTGCTATTAAACTAAAAATACAAACATTTAAAAAAATAAATAATTGACCTGTTGAGAGTCTGTTGATAGTTAGTTTGAGACTCAGATAACCTGCTATGAGAGCATTTGTTAGTTATCAATTTGAAAAATAAAATGGCGAGAAATAGTCAGAAATAAACTTGCATAAATAAACATTTAAGCATAAAAATCTTCAGGACATTACGGTTCAAAATAAAAGTGTTACAAAATTAAAAAAAATAATAAATAAATAAATAAATAAATAAAAATAATATTTAATAATAATAATAATAATATTATTATTATTATAATTATTATATAATATATTAATTATATATAAATATAATAATTATTATTATATAATATTATATATATAAAAATTAAGAACAATCTGTTTGGCTAGTGTCAAGGTTTAAATAAACAAGTGCTAATACTTTAATAAACACATTTTACAAATCACCTGGCGTTTTATCATTTTTTAATCAATTCAGCGGATCTTTAAGTTTGGCTTACGCACTTTAGCTTAACATGGATTATTGAATAAAATTAGACTGAATAAAAATTGAATAACATTAAATGAAGAATTTGAATAATTATGCAATTTAAAGTTTGACTCTTCTATAGTTACGTTGTGTACCAAGACTCATAGAAAATGAAAAGTTGCTATTTCCTGATAAAGGAATTTATGCTAAACTAAGGAGCTAAGCTAAAAGAGCTCCTGCCAGACCCAGGGATCAGGTGAATAGATAAAAAAAATGGTAAAACTCGACTATTTAATTCCAGAGTTGTAATATATATATATATATATATATATATATATATATATATATATATGAAGTATCCAAGTAGTAGCATGAAAATAGATAGTATGTTTTTAATAAAATGTTAAGACTACTTGCCAACATTCGTTTTTCCACTTGTTGGAGACAATGCAAGAAATAAGGTTCATTATTGTTTGTTGTCTGCAGCATTGTTCCACTGTTTCTCTATATATTCCTCAGTTTAAATACTACTGAGACCTGCAGTTAAAATGTAAATGTTCATCCATTCTTTATGTTTGTACAGCATGCACTTTGGCTATTGCAGTGATTTGCTTATATCCGTCTAAGTTTAATAAATGATATTGATTTGGTTGTTTTTCCTCATTACAGAACTAATTGTCTTTTCTAAATTTGTCATTAAATTTTATTCGAAAAAGACTTAAGTTTTGAACTTTGTTATGAAAATTATATATTAGTATATATATTGTGATATTGCATTTATACAACAGTTTGATGGCATAATCGTGTATATAAAAAAGAAAATCAAACATGGAGAGTCTCAAAATCCATTTGTATGAGGAACTACTTTCTTCCGCCATTCCTTCACATCTGCAGATGACGTCAGAACAGCAGAAGCCACTGTGCTACTGTGCTGTGCTACTTCACAATTGTCTAGCGTGGCATTATAAGATGGCATTATAAGATTATAAGGCTAAACGGAATGAAATGCCATAAGTGGAAAATACTACCAGATTACTGTTGTGTTTGTAATCAGGAAAACGCTATGGGGTGTATCATGTGGACATTTCTTCTTTCTTTCTGTTTGTTGAACTAATCTGCAGTAACAAAAACAGGAGACTCATTAGAAACAGATGGGCAACCAAAAAGTAATTCAGGGTTATACAAATAGTGGCCAACCCAAAATACCTCTTACCATCCCAAACTATCTCACACTCAATACCATTACGATGAAATAAATACAGCACTACAAAATACAATAGAGATTTACT